TGATTGTAATGTGCAACAACTGATCCATCAAAGTGATTTTTCTTTTTTTTCTAGCATCTGATCATTTTCTAAATGATAACCAATTAACAAGACTTTGTGTTATTCATTTAACTTGAAATTGAAAGTTGAAGGTAGCTGTGGATGGATAGACAATGCCTAAATCATTAGTTGTGTTTCTTATTATCATAGCTCTCTGTCGTTTTCTTTTGTTGAAATGGTAAATGGCCCACAATAGTGTTTGTGGTTTTCTAGCTCTCTGTATCTTTTTACTGTTGTTGAAATGATAAATGTTCAGTAATGATATTTCTGGTAATGTAGTTCTCTGCCTATTTTATCTCGTCGAAGAAATTCAGCTATCGTTTCCTTCGACGTAGTTTTTCTTTCTTTCTAGTATCTGATCAGTTTCTAGTTGTTTTCCCAATAAATATGTACACCAGACAATCCAACTTTGATAAGTTGGATTAAATCCCAGCATATGATAGGCTCTTAGCCATCCATGTGGTTATTTTAGCTGTGATTTTGTTGACCAATGGTTTGCATTGTAGAATTGTTAATCTTCTGGTAGAGAAAAGGACTCCAAGATACCTAAAAGACAACTCTCCAAATTCATTTCCTAGTATTCCCAATATCCTCTGTTGAATATGACTACATACTCCAAAATAAGCCTGACTTTTTCTTAGGTTTTCCTGGAGTCCTGAAGCTGCTGAAAAGTAACTCAAACTTGTCGTTGAGTATTTGCACAGATGTTTCATCTCCTCTTGCCTAGAGCCCTGTCTGAGATTAGATTTGCCGGGAGCCCTGTCTGAGACCTCTCTTAACTTTGATAGTTTCTGATTAGGCACCATTGATCAGAAATGTTTTGCTGACAGTTCTCAGCGAAGAAGTTTAGCTACTTGACCTCCTTATGCATTGTAATCTGCAGCAAGTGATCTTTAATGTAATTTTTCTTCTAGCATTTGATCATTTGTTTAATGTATTCCTCGCTGATTTTGTACCTATGGCATATTTTTCTCTCGTGTTTATCTCTAAATCTCATCAAATGAAATTCTTCAGCTTCTTCATTATTTATTCTTCAACTATGGCTTGAGAACAGTCTGCTGGAAATCTTACATTTTTCCAATACAACCTTTCTTGAAAAAAAATCATTACTTGATCAACTGTAAATGAACTCATTTTTTTTTAGCATTGTTTGACCTGTCCAATGAAATTTAAATTGAAACAGAGCAAACCAGTAGCCAAATTCACAAAGATGTCAAAAATTTCGAGAAATTCTCCACTAAACCCTTGTCTTTGTTCTTTGAGCAAATTAGGAAAGTAGTGTTTCAAGATGCTTCCATCAGTGACACCTCTATCCAGTGAGTTCCCATTCCTCTTCTTCCTCTTTGTTTTTGTTGCTCTTCCGTTGGATTCCTCTGATGTATGGTCGTTTTCAGCTAGGAAGTTAAATTGGTAATATGTTGATTTCCATATATAGACCGATTCTCCCTGAATCCTATCAATCTTCCTTCCCTGGTAAATATCTTTGGAGCTTTCTTTCCATGTCGTGTCACATTTCGATATGCCATAGATGTAGCTCCCTTGCCTCATAACAATATAGTTTGTACCTGTAACATCACTTTGTTTTAATTTCTTTTTTGATACTTTGTCCTGCAAAGTAGTTGCTGACAATATTAAATGATAATTGTACAGATCTGAGTTAATCAAAGTTGTTGCAATCATGGTGTGATTATTACTGCTGTCCCTCCATTTTCCTCCCCGCCTCCCCCAATCTGCATTGTTTTAATACGAAGGTTAGGGTACTGATTCTTGTCTAAGTTCATAATTCTGTTGGCCTGACTTGGTAGTTGTGAGAGAATTATAGACAAGCCTGCCTGGATTGTCAAAAGCTAGGTTGGCTATGCAGTCAGCCAAACTATTTCCTTCTCTATAAGTATGTTGAATCTGAACCTGAATCATTTGGGATAGATATCTTCCACTATTACCACAATGTGTCATGGTACTTCCCACTCTTCGGTAAGAATTTGAGTAACACTAATGAAACTGTTTCTACACAAACTTGTGTTACTCCTTCTGTAGCACAAGTTATGAGTTTGGGTGTGTTGCCTCAGTTAGCATGGAGGTCTGAGATTGTGACCTCCTGCATTCAGTGCTGCACCAGCAACGACCCAAAGTCAATACTTAATAAAGAATTACCAAACAAACTGCTAAACACCACAAAATCATCCTAGAGTTCTTGGGAACTGAATCAAAGGTCGTTCTAGACGAAATTCGGCGTTTCAGAGCTAACCACACTAACGGAATTCCATTCTGCGCGTGTTTACTAAGAAAGCTGGCCGAAGGAATTTTTTTGGTAAAACTCCAAAGCTAAAACCCCTAAATACACTAACTCCAAATAAAAGCCTCAAAATCCGCACTGATCATTACACTAGAGCAAAATGACCCTTATGAAGCTGATGGACTTGACGGAATTCTAATCAGACGTCAAAATCTCTGAATGTTGACTGAAGTCAACTTTCAAGCCATAAACCTCCAAAACTCAAAAACTCTCACCAAACTCAACCGAACACTTCAAAAAGCATGCTATACAGCCAAACAACATATAAAAGCCTAATTATTTATACTATTTTGATTGCAGGACACCTTTCAGCTTCCGGACATACAACACAATCGGGATACCATTCTTCAAACAGCAAAAAATTTGTATCGATATTGTCGAAGTAGACATCATGACCATTTCAAGATATTTGCTACAAAAGAAGAGAGTCTGCAAAACATACCAACCGATGTTAATGAAGCTGAATGGAAATTCTTGGTAGGCTACTTCAACTCTGATGATTTTAAGGTATTTAAAAGTGACAAATTTAAACTTTTATATTGTTTGTTTTCTTTTTTGACTTATTATATACATAGATCAAAATAAATTTCCACACTCAAAATCAATGCAGAAAATGAGTGAAAGAAACAAAAATAACAAGGCAAAACAAGAAGTGAATCATATTTGCGGCAGAAAAGCTAGTGTCTTATGAAGTGGTGAGATATATGTCTTTATTTGATCGATTATTGTTACAATTTCAACAATAACATAATTTCACTTGTTTTGATAGAGGGACACTATCACTGGAAAAGGGCCGAATTTTCAAAAACTTTGGGAAATAACACACATGAAGCCAAATGGGCAAAGGGTTACTAATGCTTCTGCTGAAGTGAATGTACATATTTTTTTTACCTTTATTCATATAATGAGTTTATTTGCATAAATATGGAGAGTTAAAGCTAGTATAACCTTTTTTTGTAGGATAAAGTGAAAGATGTTGCTGAAAATATTCAAGAAATTGAAGAAGGTACCGATGTGGATCCTATTATTAATGCTGCATTTGTGCAAATAATGGGAGAAAAATCAAAGTACATTCTTGGTCAAGGATCTGGAATTAAGTCAGCAAGTAGAATATCTAGAAATGAAATTCAAGAACAACTTCAAGCACAACAAAAGGAAGCAGAAGAAGAACGGCGTAAACGAGAGTGTAGAAAGCAAGCTAATCGAAGTTATGAATCAACTTGAAGAGGAGCGAAAAAACCGAGAAGTAATGGAAGTTCGTTTAGTGCATGACCAAAAATTGTTAAAAGAGAGCATGATGGCGCTAGTATCTCATTTGTAGAATCCCAAGGTATTTGTTTATAGTATACATCGCTAAATTAGTAGATGCTACATTACTACTTACATTTTTTTCACTCTCACTATACATCTTCGCCTTTTCCTCGTTCTATTCTTCTTTTATCGACATACTAAGTTGTTAGTTTGTACCATATTTAACAGAATGGCCTTCCTGCTTCAATTTTCAATATCATTACAACTTCAACTAGTTCAAATGAGACAAGTTCTGCAAGTCTAATGAATAACAATTGGGTAAGTAAATTTTTTTAAATTAATTCTCTTTTTAGTAAAGGTCACTACTAGGAGTATTTGGTAGGTATTAGTACAACTTTTGTTTGGGCTAGTAATTCGTGTTACCTACATATATAAGGGAGTCTGTAATGTTTTCTATTGAAAACATCTGATAGGCATTACTATTATTATTACATGTTGAACTAGTGCTATTGTCGGGTATTGCTATTTGATTACAGAACACATGTTGTAAGTTTGTTGGAACATCACATCTGGTAATTAAATGAAGATAGTATGTGTTACTGAAATTTGGTTTTTATTTTCAAGTATATGTTACTGGTAATTAGATGAAAATAGAGATTATTCTTTTATGTTAACATAGATGACTTGCTATATTATTCTTTGAATAGATTTTTCATCTCCTTGTGTCAGTTGTATCTCTATGCATATCCATCTATCATTTTAGTTACAACAGACAAACACAATATGTAATAAACGTATTTTAGATATAAATTTACTTCAAGCTTATAATATTTATATTGATGAGCAGTTGCAGGAAGATTTACATGGAAAGCAAAACCAAGAATCACAGATACAAAAATAATTGGATAACTTGAAAGATATCTTGACTTTTGAGAAGCAAAACTTAGAAATGGTTATTTATGATTATGATAAATTCAGTTCGTTGTGCAATGAAAAAGATGCAGAGCTTAAGGTATTTTTTAAATGTGATTAAATTTGATTTATTAAGGGGACAATCATTCATTTTATTACTCCATTCTTGAATTTATAGGATGCCCTAACAGAGAAGCGAAGCTTAGAAATGCAGCTTCCAAAGTTGAGTTCTCAAGGTTCGAAGAAAACTATTCCGAAAGAGTTGGTTGATGCAAATAATCAGGTAAACCTATAGATTATTATTTGGCCTTTATATTTTGTCCAGATTAGTATCCATAAAACACAAACTCATGTGACTTCACTAATTGCAGGTCTTTGAAAAGATCCATGAAGAGCTGAAAGCTCGTTCTATGTTGCGTACCGCAGAAGAAACAAAAAAGAGGCTTTTGACATCACTTGAGGCAAAAATTGTAGAGCTGGAAAAGAAGAAATCAAGTGAGGTATGTTGCCTAAATATCTCTTGTTTCGCATTTCAGCTCTAAGAGTTGTGAATCTGAGTCACACTGGTATTAGAGCATTGCCTTCTTCCATCAATACTTTATGTCAACTACGATCTCTAATACTACAAAATTGCAATGAGTTGAAAGAGTTATCAGATATTGGTAATCTTTGTAATTTGCAATTGCTTGATTGTGATAATACACGGTTATGCTGTCTGCCGATAGGAATGCACAAGTTGTCAAATATGAGGTTATTAAATATGCCTGCATCTGATTTGGAGAGTAGTATCGGCCAAGGATTTTTCCAGAAATTTTCTAGCCTTGAAATAATAAATATGATGGGTGGCTATCTTGGATCGACTTCTTTTGATGAGATATTGTCTGCATCTGACTTGGAGAGTAGTATGCCGATAGGAAGTTGATTGTGAACAAGAAGAGTTTTGATGGATTAAAATCACTACACATAGAGAGTTGTTCTTGTGATTTCACATTCAGCTATTATCTCTTTTTAAACTCAATCAATGTTGTTGGTCAGGTTTGATAAGAAGCGAAAAGGGAAGTCTCCAGGAAGCTGGAAACTGTATTACACAAAATTATTCCAGGAGATTAAGATTACTTTTGAATTCCTTTTGTTTTTGTGACATTCTTGGGGTTGAAGGAAGTGAACAGTTTGATGATCCTTTGCCAAATCTGGAACATCTCAGCCTCTCTTCTGTACATAATTTAAAGAGTGATTTTGGTCATTTTCAAATGAAATAAGGCGATTTATCAGGAGATTAAGGAGATTTATTAGGAGATTAAAGTGTGTTTGGGTGTATTAGTGAGTGCATTCATGTGAATATCTCTATTTTTTAGATTTATATTTGTGTATTTTATAACTTACTTTGTCAAATTATAATTATATTTATCTTTTATTTGCAGGATGAACATGCATTATCCACCACTGCTTCAATACAAGTACTATTGAAGATCAGGCTATTAAAAAGTTATAACTAGTAGGATTAGAATATAATTAATGGCTTGCTTATTATTTTTTCTTACGAGTACAAACATGTGTAGAAGTATTTAGTTGACCTTTGCAAATCTATATAATTCTTAATCTAAATATTTGTGAAAAATTTCTAAAAGAAAAGTGTATTGTGTATATAGCTGCTATTCACAAATTGTTGCTAAAAGTGTAGAAAATTTCTATAAAGAAAATATGTATTATGTATGTAGCAACAACTCACAAATTGTTGCTAAAGGTATATAATAAATATGTGAGCTTTATTACAATTAAAATTATTGTTGCTAAAAGCCTTCCTAAATAACTTTTTTGTCAATTTTTTACAACAACATATATTGTTGGTAAAAAAGTTAATTTGTGGCAACACTAAATTTTGTTGCGAACAATTTTATAAGCCACAACTATATTAATGTAAGGCAACAATTATTTTGGTTGCAATAAGTTAGTTTTTGGCATCAATATATTTTGTTGTTGCAAAAACTTTTCGCATCAGCGTTTATTGCAACAGCATGCAACAACTTTTATATTGTTGCCAAAAGTACTTTTTGCAACATCCTATATATAGCAACAAAATTAATTGTTGGGAAATGCCTTTTTTCTTGTAGTATACTTTGAGAATGGGCAGGTCTAGCTCTAAAACCCTGTGAATTTTGACTATTGTGCTCATCTTTATTCCTTGGTGCAGGTGCACTAGCAAATGATGGAGCAAGTCCCTTCTGTTTCTATTGAAAAGATGACCGGTTGACACTACTCTTCTGCTGCACGGACTAATTCCTTGTCTTAGCTCTCTTATTTCGAAACTCCTCTCCGTCTTTCAGCTTCTCTTCCTCAACCGGTTGCATATGGATCATCAGCCTTGCTTCTTCATATCTCCTATCAGCATAGCTGCCCTGCCTTCCCTACTAGACAGACAAGACAACTTAGCAACAAACAAACTCATCACGCTTCTCATGTCAGCAACCATCTTCAGAGCATAGCGTGAAAGTTGGGTGAACTTCAGACTAACGCTCAAAGAATCCTGCTTAAGAGTGAGGAACTCTCGTCTCTCAATTCTCGGGGAAAGAAATACCCCAAGAAGGCCTCCACAAAACAAGCCCAACTCACAAGTGGTTCACCCTCAACTCGATTCTTCTTCCATTGATCAAATGAGATTCTAGTGACACCCTTCATTTTGTATGCAACTAGTTCCACCCTCTCAGTATCAACAATATACATAATTTCAAAAACCTTCTGAAGCTCTTCAATAAAGTTTTCTGGATCCTCTGTGACACTTGAACTAGTGAAACTAGGAGGATTCATCCTTAAGAACTCACGGATCCTTGAAGTATCAGCCCCTTCCTGTCGATTCTCTCTCTGTCCAACTTTATTGGTCACAACTTGACTTAGCATCCGGATAGCTTCACGAAATTCAGCATTGGTGACCTCTCATTGGGGTTGCACTTCTGGTCCATTAGGTACCCCTTGCTCCTGTGGTTCAACATTCCTTCTAGCTAGACGACCTCTTAAAACTCTTCATGGAGGCATGATCTGAAAGACACGCACAAGCACGAGTTAAAAGAAACCTTTTAAAGATAAACTCTATCGCACAAAATGAGTATGAAAGAAGTGAGATAGTTCCTAAATGTTGTAGCCTCCTAATTATAGATGTGGCGCGCTTCACACCGATAACTAGAACTCTACAAACACGACTTCATAGCCTCCCTAGGACTCTTGAACTCTGTGTTCTGATACCAAGTTTGTCACGCCCCGATCCTACACCCTGGGCAAGACTGACACTCGAGAACCATTGTTGTCCCCAAGCGAACCCTTGGCTTGGCTTAACTCATAGCGGAAGACTTAAAGCATTAATACAAGGATTCAATGCATCTTTACTCAATTGTTTAAAAGATAACTTAGAACGTTTAAAGATAATACATTCAACTTAGCCAACACGGCAACTCAAGTCTTAACATAAGCAATAACAATGTAAAGACAAATGAACTACTAACTTTCTATGAAGCCTCTAATTAAGCTAGGAGGGATGTCAGGACAAGACCCCCGATCATCCTAACGACTGAAAACTACTAAAGCAATATAAATAGGGGTCCTCAAGAAAGCAAGGAGGCTCACCACAAGGCTGCTCAACTGGATCAACGAAGCGCTGGATGATGATCTTGGTTACCTGTATCTGTATCATAATAAGATGCAGGCCAACCGGCATCAGTACATTGAATGTACGAGCATGCGAGAGGAATGCTAAAACAAGACATAAGCTTGAAAGGAACTGAAAAAGCATACTTGGGCTCAACTCAACTCAACTTAACTCATTTCAATATAAAGCAATAATATGAATGCAATATAAAGAAAAACTTTTAAAACATGGATACCAACTCTGTGTATTTAGAAATACAATAGTAACTCAGTTTGTATGCAAAGATACAATATAAACTCTGTGTGTATATAAGAATACAAATAACTCTGTGTATATAAGAACACAAAATATAACTGTGGGAGTTTCTCTAACCGACAACCTCAAAATTTGATACGCTCAAATTACACCTCCCTAAAGAAGTGTAAGCGATCGTTATCAAGTAAAGAACCCAACTTATAGGTTGGGGTCGATTTCACGAGGAATATGGTTTATACTTAACTTTAACCCATGATTATATTCGTTTAGTCAACGTACTTCCGAAACAAATAATTAAAGGGGGGGGGGGATTTGTGAAACAAATTCTGGAAATTATGTGAACAATCAGTGACTACAAGATTCAAACTTTAAGTGTTATCAAGATGAGAGAGAAACTACGGTGTACGTGTTCCCTATAAGCTCATAACGCGTTAATCCTAGTAATAGTAATCATTTCCTAGTGTATTACATGCAAAGTGATAAGTTAGGTATCTCTGATTCCTTGGTCCAACAACTAGAGAATTTCACCCCGCACCTTGGTCCGGCTACATGTGTATAATTTACTAACCCTTACCTTTACCTCATATTAAACATCACATCAATGTATGACTTAGCTTTCACCCTCGCACCAATTGACATTAGACTATTAGATAGTATCACACTAAATCTATGTTGATAATTCTTTTCTTATTAACTACCTCCTTGGTCCGACAAATAGCAACAAGGCAAGTTCTAACGAGTGCACTCATTAAAAAGACTTCTAAGCGAAAGAATTATCAATGCATGCAATAATACTATTCAAGAATTACTTAGTTACTATTCATATGTTGTTAATCGCTCATGGTTCCCACAACCCTAGTTGTTGATTTAGTTACCCATAGTAGCAAGAACACAATTCATATTTTTAGATGAAGAAATCATGAACTTATGTAATGAGAAGAATAAACCCAAAATCTCAACTTGTATTTCAAAATCAAAATCTTCAAAACGAACTTAGGAAATCAAGAATTGCTAAAATTGCAAGTTAATCTCCAAAGCCAAAAACTAGAATAAAAGTAACAAGGTCTAACCCCCAAAAATGAGGTTTGCATGCCCTATATATAGAAAAACAAGTCCCAACTAAAAAGGAAACGAAATAAGAAAATAAAGTTTCGATCTACGACACTGACCTACTGTCCGTAGGTCCCTTCCGTGATTTAGGACTTAGGCAATTTTCCAACTTCAAAATCTCCAGCTCTCAGTTGCATTCGACGGACCAGCAGGATGGACTGTGGTTCAATCCACGGTCCGTAGATCCTTCTCCGTGATTTCATACTTAGACTTTTGAAATCAGGTACTGGAACCCCCTTCTCTAAAGCATTTGACGGAGCTGCAAGACGACCCGTAGGTCGACATACGGTCCGTAGTCGTGGTTCCACACTTAGTCAAGAGTTCCCTGAATTTTCCTTCAAGCTATGCTTGTCCATATACTTTCACCATCTACAGAGCGTGACTGGACTTACGGTCCGTATGTCACTTTCGTAGATGCCCTTTTCTGCACCATTCTTCAGTTGTGTCTCAATACTTCCATGTCCGAACTTATTTCCTGCAAACATGATAAAAACACATTAATACCAAATACAAAATGGCTCTAGACACACAAAACTCTGAAGTGAAATGTATTAAAAATACCGTAAACTCACGGTATATCACAACCATGACTTAAGAGCTATGTGATGATACAATGTTTTGCCTCGCACTGCCAGGGCCTTTCTATACCTTGCCAAGGGCATAGAACCTAACTACTAAGTGTATCTGCTAGTCTATGCTAAAAATTACTAAGGAATCATCTAAAAAGTATGACCCTTTTCAACCCATGTTGGCTACATGGTTTATGGGGGCTGGAAGTTGTCTGAACTCTCCCCCATATCGGTGCTCAATACTACTCCCAAAATATACTAGCTCATATGTTTAAAACATAACTCTGTGGTTTGAGATAATTACTCAAAACTAGCCCAAAGGCTCTCTTGGAAATTAGTGTTTCCTCTCTTGCTTAATTGTGAAAGCATTTACTCTTTACTGAAAACTAGCTTAAATGCTCTTTTGGAAATCTCAGTTTCCTTTCTTATTTAAATGTGAAAACATTTTACTCCTTGGGAATACATAGTCGCGATATACTCTTTTGAAGAAATGAACTTCAATCTTTACTCTTTACTCAACTCAAAACTCAGGTCTTAAAACAAAGTTAAAATATTTGTAAAAGACTTTTGGAAGACTCTATGAACTTCTCTTGACCTGCCTCTTAACTTTCCTTGAATTTGAATTTATGGATTCAAGGATTGTGATTTGTGATAGGAAAGATCTCATGATGTTTAGGAGTGTTTTTAGATAGTTAAACATGAGAAACAATCAAGAAATCACTGCCTGGAAGCAAGTACGCAACACGAAGAAAGTTTTGTCAATCCCGAGGAATAGGTCCGTGACGCAGACCTGGTACCCAGATTTGCCCTACCTTTTCCTTCTTCATTTTCTAACCCCAATTCGCCTAAATTCGATTCTTTTTCCCAATTCCTCTGTAGATTCAGATACCCAAAACATATACACTAGAATCTAACTTAAAACAACTCTAAAAATCGACATTAAACTCTCAAGAACTCCTTAATCTCATCCCAAATTCAAGAACAAAGGCAATTCAAGAACACAACTCAAGAACATCAATTTCTCAATCTTTTAGGACGAAAATCATACTGCAATAAACATGTTTGGTGCGTGGGTGAACGAACCCAACGCTATGTGAACTCACATACCTCGTAGGGATCACCCCTTGACGAAATCCACAAGCCTAGCTTCAAGAACTTGAAGATTCCTTGCCTCTTCTACTCTCAAAACCCTAACTCTTTTTTATGAAGCGTAAACTGAACCAAATCAGTTTAGACCCCAACTTAATTACCAAAAATGAAATTAAATAATAGGGTAGTGAAAAGACCAAAGTATCCTTCTAAAATCTGGTTTTGACTTTTCTTATCAAGACAACCCAACTTCAAATGGGCATATCTCCCTCATACGAACTCGAAATTGAGAAAACTCAGTGGCGTTGGAAAGATAATTCCAAGATATTTCCTACGGTATCTTGTAGTACACCTAACTCATCCTGAGCTAGAAGTTATGATTGTTTGAAGTTGACCCAAAACTCATTCTTAACTTAACTTTGTCAAACTTTCCAAATATGATTGTTTTCAAAAATGGTTCTTTCTAAATTTAGCTCTTTCAAATAGCAATGTGTTACAACTAACACACATGATTAGTCGTTTCAGGAACTTTCAAGGGAA